CTGCCACCTCTCTGTATAAAGATATGAAAGAAATGTTGCCATGAAAACCATCCTTTTGAGTATGATCTTCACTTTGTATTTACCATCAGCTTTGCCTACACTAGAGACTGATACCCTGTAACAATGGTGATAAAATTACATACGCCATTTCAATAAAACCAGATTTATTACGGAACACAAATTTTTCAGAATAACATCTTCAAAAGCAGAGTTCTTCCTCAATGCAAGTACTAACAAGCCATATATTACCAAGAGGTAGCGTGGCAGAGCATCCCTGTTATACCGTGGCTAAGAATACTTACTAAAACACTTATTTTCTGAAATATGCTCTGACACCTTCTACTGAATTTTCTAGAAGAAAATAAAGGGGCTGAAGGCTACCTAACCTAGGTCCAAAGGCAAACTAAGAATTCTATTTCCCCCACACACTATTAATAAAATAATACATATCAAAAAAACCATGCTACAGTATTTCAGAATCTGGACTGGCACACGGCTGATTGAATATCTGCAAAGACATCTTAACTTCACATCATCACAGCTGTGATGATGGAGACCTGCTACAGAAAGACCACGGTCCTGCCAACATCAGAACCAGCCGTCTGCCTTCGACCACCTTTAGTCACTTGCCCAAGAGGCGACAGTATTTGCCTCCGTCTAGTCCTGCTGAACAGGACTTCTTTCTTTTAAACAAACGCCTTTCTCCACCTTGTTATGAATCCTGCTGATTTCTGCCAAGCCGAAACACCAGCCCCTCTGCCAGCATTTCCTCGCACCAGGTAGGCAGCGTATTTTAGAAGGCAATGTTGCATCTTGATGGAAATACAACTTCAATTTGGCATTCAGTCTCACTTGCTTTCACAGCAACAACAATTTTATTTATTTAAACACGAGTACAGTCTGTAAGATTGTCACCATACTTGGACAGTTTTTGTCCTTCTGGCTTTTTCAAGCCATCATTACCAATCCTTTTCCGCACAACGAACTCGCTTCCAAGCCTGATGCGCTCACTTCAAGAAGTCGGCAAGAAGCGTTCACTTGGAGGGGAGAGCACTAAAGCGATGCGCGCTCAGCCCCGAGCGGGGACCGGGGCAGCGGGGACCCGGGCACTCCATGCACCCCTCATTAGCCCAACGCCCGCAGCCTGAGCTGCTGCTCTTGGCCCGGCCCTGGGCGACGGCACCGAGACCCCTGCAGCCACCGCAGGCGCTCGTGCCAGCCTGGCAGCGGAAGGTTTCCTAAGAGAGACTGGAGTAGCTGGTATTTGCTACTGGGATCACCTGGGGAAAAAAAAAAATGATGGTAATAACCAGCTGCTCTCCTTCACCTACCCTCCAATTTACCATCCTGAAGGCAACTGATTAGCCAAGTTCTGAGGGTATGCACCAAAGGTATTTGTTATATTACAGTATAATTTCTACATTTTCTCCAATTACATTACTGCTGCTGTGTGATGTCTTGGGATTTTATTTTTCCCACTTCGTCTTTAAATTGGCTCCTACTGAACCATTACTCATCAATAATCAACAGACATTAAAACGTTAATAATTTCCAGTCTGTGACATTTGACAATACTTAAGGAGGAAACAAAATTAATTTTAATCTCAAACTTGTTATTTCTAGTGATTTTTATAAATGGATTTTGTGCTGATGAATGACAGCCTAGAGATGGTCTCTCTGCTCTCAGAACAGCAACAGCACACACTGCAGCAAGGCAAATTTCTCCCACACTGTGCTTGCCTCCGTGACTCAGAGCTGACATTCAGAAAAGGTCCTTTGTCACAAAACCCTGACAGCAAGGGACTAGGCTTCTTTTCAGCTGCAAAAGTGAGCCGTGGTATCATATTCATGTGGTCATTTGAAAAGGCTGTCTTCTAAGCGGCCCCAGCAGAAGCACAAACAGCTCTCGGGTCACTGGGATTTTTGTTTAAAGAATTCCCTCCCTCTGCAGGATGGGCCCAGGGAAAAAAATCCCAGCAAAGCAATACACCGTTCTTGCTCTTCCCAGAATGTGATTTCAGGAGAGGGAGCCTAATGCAGCAATAAAGGTTCAAGCATTCTTGTACATCCCTGATTCTCGGCACCCAGCTTTGTATTCCCACCCTACACCAAGTTAAACCATTCCTTAGGATTTTTTTTCCAAATTTTTTTTTAAAAGCAGAACAAAGCCCCAGTTCCTTTCACTCAGCAGCCACACAACAAGTTGTGCCAGCACAGATGACAGGACAGCTTGTGATCAAGCAGAAAAGAACAACCAAGGCAGCAGAAATGCCACTGAAGAGTCTTACGAATTGGCAGCCAGAGGTTCCTAAATTCCTAATACTCCAACAACTTAATTTTCCTTCCTTTTTTCTTTACATTTTACTGCCTGGCTCCAGCAAAGATCTTTCTTTCTAATCTAGGGATTATTTTGGCTTCATCTCAGAAGATCTGCAACGTAAACGCACATCAGAATACACCACACATCTATTAATCAGGATGCTGGTTTAGCCTAGATAATTAGAAATCTGAGCCCTTCAAAGAAGGTGCAGCCTAATTTCATCTCAAAATCTGCAGCTTAATTGCAATATAAGGTCTTAGCCCAGTTTTAAAAGACAACCAAATAATAAATTACAATATACATATAGGCAATGCAGGAAGTATTCTAGGGCTATCTTGAGACTGTAATAAAAGATACGTGTTTTCTACAACTGATATATATAGCAGATTACGAGGATGAGGGTTAAATATTTGATATCCACAGGAACTTACTTCTGGCATGCTTTCCATGAAGACAGCCTTTAAAGAATGCATGTGTGCTGTGGTATTACCAACAAGAATCAAGAATACTGAAGAAAATTATTTTTTTGCCAGTAAACTGTTATTTAAAGAGTATTTAACCCTCAGCAGCACATCTGAGTGTTCACTGAAGCCGATTCTAGAGCAACCTGGCTCAGACCTTCATCGACCCTTGCCATATGTTCTTTGATTAGATACACTCTTGTAGCAATATGTTAATTGCAATTAACATAATATAGTCATTGTTCTGGAACACATTTATCCGGTGGCCTGAGGTGATCTCAGTCCGCACTAATGATGAGCCCATCAGTTCAGGAAGAAATTCTGCTTACCTTTGCTGTCCAACAGCCAGAGATGGCCAAAACAACATCCCCTTCACTCTGCCCATTTAAACAACAGGCAGGGAACTACACAACTTTCCCCCGCTAAATAGCTTTTAAATTCAGGACCATCTAACCTTCTCATGCCAAAAAAGCCTGTTAGCGCACCTCTGAGTACGTAGGCAAAGGCAGGTTAACCCCTGGGCAGATTTGCTTCCTGCTTCTCATCTCCTTAAAACCAAAAGAAAACCAAACCCCACCACATTTCACAACATCTTTCAGAGAAAACAAGATCCAGTGGTGGACCTTTTCCTAGACTGACGCAGCTCTGAAAAGGGCTCTAACACAGAGCTGGGGTCCTGCCTCTATTACTTTAGCTGCAAACTGAAAAATTCTTTTTATTTTGGTAAGATTAGTGCCTCTGAAATACGGCCTTACAAGAATCATTGCTTAGCTTCCCCAACTGAAATGAAATAGGATAATCAAACTTTCACATATAAAATTAGCATGATTAAATACCTACATACTACTGAGGTACCCGACTACTCTAAAATACATATTGTGGAAGAGCTAGTAGCATTGAGAAGCATTTTTAACCTCATCTGAATGTAAAACATGCAAGTTAACACCGGATGATTTACTAAAGCAAAAACTGAACAAGAAATTTTCGCTGATGCAATCTTACCCTCATTGCTTCTGCTGTAACAGATAATTTGCCATTGGCAGCACGAGCAATGAATGATTGCTGCACTCCACTACACCATGCAGAAGCTTATTAAAAAACAAGGAAGTATGATAATGTATTTCTATTAAGAATTCACGCTTCCTGTTCTCCTAACCCCTTTCAGGATGCTCTTCAAATTCCACAGTTTTCATCTTAGACAAAAGATGAAAACTGGAATCTGAACATCCATGTGTCAGAAGAGTTCTAATTAATTTCAACAGTGTTTCTAGAGTCAAAATTTCTCAGAAATCGAATGAATGAATGATCTTTAATTAAGCACTCCCAGACAGTTTGTGTGTATCAGTGTTCCAAGAACAAGGCATTCAAAGACAACCTGCAGGGAGCACAGGACTCCTGCACCTAGTGGCTGCAAGCATCTACTGCCCTGTCGTGAAGAATATGCTTCCCTTTTTTAAAATCAAACAAACAAAAACCCCTAAAAAACAGCAAAGACTACAGTGGACAATTATTATTGCAAAGCCTACCCTCTTTGGACAAACTGAAGCAGAATTTGAAGAATACTTATCTTGGTTAATCAGTTTGCCTCAGCTGCTTGAGAACCAGTAATTAGGCTCAAATATTGCTTGGATGAAAGGATCATAACATGTTTCAATGGTGTTAAGTCTGAAACATAACACTATCATACAAAGAACAGTAGGACAGCATAGCGATGAAGTGAAAACCAAGTATTTTTGGTTACGTGTTTTTCTGTTCATTAGTTGGTTTTGGTGACATGGGGGGTGTACAAGCACGTCTCCTCTGTGGACGCTCCCATGGGCAAAACCCACGCTTAAACGAGCCACACAGGCAGCTTTTCAGTGCTGGACTTGCAGGAACATGTCTACAATCTGTGTCTGCAGTTGCCATTTCTCTGGCTAGTCCAGGATGACAGCGCGAGCGGTGAAAGCTACTGGACTCTGAACTCACCGACCCGAGCAAAGCCCAGGGCAGCCGTAACTCCTCACCGCGGTGCCGCTCCACGAGCAACTGCTCACTTTTATGGCCACTGCTTATTTCAGGAATGCACGGTAAGGCAAGAAATGACAAATACTGTAGGTACAGACTCTGCAAAAAGCCTTCCAAAGAAATTTCCTCGCAGACAAACAAGAGAAATGCTAGAAACAATGAAGAAATTAAGAGCAGCAGGAAAAAAAAAAAAATCATAAAATTTGGCTTACTTCTCTATTAAATCCAGTGTGACTCCTGGCACCAGTCTGACACTCTTCTGCATACAGAACCTAGGGAGAAGAGAATAAAAATAAAACATACTAATTGAATACTTAATGACAAGGAAAGAATATGGAAGGAGGTTTCCTTATTACAGTGCTTCTGCTTTTAAAATGGTGTTTGGGTAGAAAACTTTGCCACAGCATAATAAGAATCAAACAAGGCCCTCAATATTTGTCACACTCATGATTATGCGGCGATTTCCATCGTCAGGTGTCAAAACCGGGTATTGTAACTGTCACAGTGACGAGTTTCCCCACACACAGCAGGGGGGAAAAGGGCTCGCAGTCATCCAGCACGGTCTCTCGGGAGGAGCAAGACGACACGAGAGCCGAGGAGGTTTATGCTTCTGGAATAATGATTAGTGCTGGCTGGGCTTCCCTGAAGAGATTTGGCACTGCAGGCAGGAAAGTGAGAAAGGGAGGGAACGAGAGGGATGCATCAAGTTCAAACACCTCAGTTATTTAATTAAAAAAAATGCTGACTCCATTTCCTCAGCATTACAAATACTACCGGCCCTGGAAAACGCAGCTAGCACTACCACTCGCCATGCCTAGAAAATCCCAGGAGTTGCTAAACCCAAGCGAGTGTGGGAAGACAACACGACTGCCGGCGCATTTCCAAGCACTTGACTCCTTCCTCCAAAACTCTTGGATACGCTTTGTGCCCAGAGGACAGAAGTGGGAAACAATATATCTGGGAAAAAAACCCAGCAAATTCAACTTGAGAAATTACTTCCTCCGTGGTATCCCTACCTTCCCAGCCCACCAGAAATCCACTCACTGTTGTTTAATGAAGAATTTACCCATCAGTGTAACATAAGTTGATATTTAACCCCTACGCTTCACTCCGCGCAGGAACAGAAAGCTCTGCGGGCAGTGAGGTACCGGGAGGGCTCGGCTGCCCAGGAAACCCACCTCCCGCACCCCGCGGCAGCCGGAGCTGCCTCAGCAGCAGCCCCTCCTTTCACCAGAGCCACGACATCCACATCCAAAAGGCTCTTCCCAGGTAAAGGAGAGAACAATTACTTCTTTAAAAACAAGATGTGCAGAGCCCATTTCTGAAATCTTGAGGACCCTCCAGTTTTCTTGTGGCATCCCCTGCTTGCAGGATACCCATTACTGCCAAGAACAGGGATGGGGTCTGAAAATCTAAGTGGTCTCCAGGCTGCTTTTCCGATGCGTGTGCCATCCATCATAAAAAAAAAAAAAAACAGTCATAAAGCTATCTATGAACACTACAGTGGGATCCCTATACAATCTGCTAAAATATAAAAATCTTACAGCACTGCTTTGTAGAACCACACAGGGAAATACCCTTCCGAAACAAAAACTGCAGGCAGAATTCAGCACGGCAGAATTAGGTCATTGGAATCAGGCTGGAGTCTCCCCACAGACTAAGGATGCCAGAAAGACTTTCCACCGCCGCTGCTCAATGCCTCTACATTACGACACGTCTGGAAGAGGACGTAACAGAGCCAGCACAACTCTGGCTGTTACACGTTTGCTTTTCTACACAGAAAAGCGAGTCCCCACCTATCACCACGTCACACAGTATTTTGTATTTACTTCGGAAGCCTCTCACCCGGGCCGTGATTTGACCGAACCTCACCCGTCCAGCAACGTTTTACAGGCTCACAGGTTATAACAGGGCAGCACTGCACGCTGTTACAACGACACAACGTCAGACAAGGATGAGCATCCTCACCCTGCCCAGCACGGCCAGTCCGCTCCAGGCCAGGCGGCAAGAGCCCGGGAATCGGCGCGCGGGCTCTCGCCGGGCCGCGCCACCGGGCAAACCCATACCTTAGCCTCCCTTTTGCGAGGGTTTCTCCTAAGCGCCAGGCTTCTGACTCGAGCGTGTCGGGTTGGAAGCAGAGAGCCTGTCCCACACGCGCAGGCTTCCAGGAGACGCAACGGGGAAACGCCGCTGCGCCAAGCCTCCCCTGCGGCGGCAGGACGGGCACAGCTCCGAGGGGCCGCTCCAGGCCGCTGTTCGCACATCCAAAGGCGTTCTGCCGCCGCCGCTCCCCGCTCCCTCGGGGAGCTGCTAGGATTGCACTGTGCGCGACACGTAAATAAGCTTAGATCTCAGTTACTTCATTCGGGCTCGTGGCTCCTCAAAGATGACAAAAGAAAACCAGGTTGCATTTGACTAGTGAAAGGGCAGCCCTTCGGCCCTGACCATGGCTCTGTCTGATACTCACCGGCACGGGAGTAAAGCAGCAACGCTTCCGCTTTTGTATATACTGGGCCTGCTACCAGCACCCGCAACGCCCTGAGCATTTTGAAAAAGATTAGTCCACTAAAACCCCGCTTAACCGGTAGCACACTATCTGCATTTCCTCTCTAACGACCACTCCTTGCCAAGAAAATGTACTCGTAAACAAAATGTTCCTCATCCTGTATCTGCAACCCTCGTTCATCACTCCAAGGCTCTAAATGTGATGTCTCAAGCGATAGCTGGTGTCATCATCACAACATCAGGCAAGATATGTTAAAGCTGCACGTAAACATACCAGTAAGTGCCAGGCAATAAAGAAGAAAACCAGAAATACACATAACAACGCTCAGCTGGGTTCTGCTCAGGTATGACAGGAATATTTTGAAATTCAATTTAGTTTCTCTAATTAAATTTGGGACAGAGGATCAGTTCAGTTAACCCCTAAATTTTCAAGGAGAAATGCAAAATAAATATACTGGGGGGGGGGAACCACCAACCAACAAAAACCTCCAAACCCACACTTCGAATGTTTATTTTAATTGACCCACAACTGTCACAGGTCAAGCTCTCTTTTCCATGCGCTTACAAGCTTGCTATATTTGGATTCTGATGTACAAACTGTATCTCTGAAATTCCTGAGTCTGAGCAGTTCCCAAACTTTTTGTTTCTTTTTGGTTTGGGGGTTTTCCAGCACTTTTCAGGAGCCCTATTACTCTTGTAAGTGGGAATTCAGGGTTCAAGGCTGTAGGGTCCTTAAGAAAATTTAGACAAGGACAGCCTTCTCACTGATGTGTAAAACTGAAAATATAATTGCAGCTTCTTTATGTCTTAAGGGACTGATGATAACATAAGCATATGATGCAGCACTGATCACGGCTTCCGATAGCTGCCTTTTGCGCGAGCCACAGAGACCCGCGCAGAACAGCGCACCAAACACGTACTAGTCTCTGCCTGTTTCTACAACACCTGCGTCCACTTCCCGATTCCTCCCTATCAGTCAAGACCAACGATCCTTTCGGCTCATCTTTAAGCATGCCTCATATATACTTATATATAGTTACAACCTGTATTTGGAATACGTCAGCTCACAACAGTCACTGCGTATGAAGACAATCGGTATCAAGTTAGCCAGTACTCACACACCAGGTTCCTGGGCTTGTCAGACTGTCGTGAAGAGTTTCACGCACCACATTCGAACGGCACGACTGACCTGTGTTTCTCTTACCAGCATCATTTTTTCTTCCCCTGAAACTAGACTGAAGTGGGTGCAGCTGCCACCCCATTTGATAAGGGATTTTGTCCATCAGTTGTTTACTTACAATACAGAGCACAAAATGGGATGTATAGGAATTTATTCATCAAACTTTTATTTGCCCATAAATTCAGTATATGAAACGTCATTAGCCTGTCAGTCCAGAATTGCAAAAATGTTTTATTTCAAAAGCAATTCTGCAGGGTTCTGGATCCGCCTTAGTAAAAGGGCTAGACTGAAGTAAAAGAGAACTTTTAATGGCAAAGGTTTACATCTTCATTTTTGGTTAACTGCCTGCTTTAGGACACCAACATACGGTTTGCATCAAACAGCTGGAATGCAGGAGGAGGGTCCGGCTTTGCAACTATTGTGTTTAACAGCAGTGAATAACAATGCTCCGCAAGCAAGCGCTTATTACGTACAGGACTTGCATGGCTAAAAACACAACCATAATAATGCCAGTCAATAGGGAATACACAAGGAGCATCACCGTCATCAGAGACTAGGGGAGACATTTTTCTGTGTGGATTACATGCAGTATGAAACGCTTTACTATCCGGGCGTTCGCCTGGCATCTACCAGCATCAGCCCCAAGAACAGCGGAGGTTAATAGTTTTAAATCCTTCCTCTGAGCTGCATTTTTACAAACTCGTTTTCTGTCACACACATACCAGACACAACTCTGAGAATCTCTCATGCTTATGCTTGAGAGCCTGCCCGGATCACCCCCTCAGCCACGCTCCCATGGAGATGAAGTAACATCGGCTGGACGGCCGAGCCCAGAGAGTTGTGAA